GACTAATTTCTTTCTCTCTTTCTTATATGTATATTTTATACTGGTTGATGAAACCCTTGCTCTGTTATCTTATCCAATCTGAATCCAATCTGAATTTCCTCATCTTCTGACCATGTTCAACTCATGGGCACAACCACAGCCACCACCACCGATAGCATCATCTTCATCAGCCAACCTGACACCATCACCGTTGCTCTACTCACCCTATCCATCACCAGAGCCTCTTCAATCGTCAACCTCATCCTTTCATCATAACCGAGAGACACCATCACCTACGATATCACCATTACCCAGTGACAACGTTACCTCACCATATAATTACAGTAAACCATTTTACGCTGATCCCAACAACAACACCGAAGATAATTTCAGTGAGGTTGCAACTTGCACAACTGCCGCGGCTAACCCAAAGCCCAAAAAGCGGATCAGCTTTGCGTTACCCGATGATACTAGTGGCTTTCCAGGCTCCTCATCGGAAGCTTTCACTAAACTTCGCAATCGACGAATGAGCAGTCCAGCAGTTCCCAACAATTCAACCGCTGTCCATAAACCCACTCGGCCCAAAATACCTTCACTTAAAATGTACAAAATTTTGGACGGACTTGACCTTAAAAGTTCCGTTCCACTCTCACCGACTCGACTTTATCAAAGTTTAGGTATGAACAACTTTTCAAATTTAATGTTTATCATTTTATACCAAATTGTCCCATGAAAATTAGAATCAGAAAAAACCTCGAACTGATGAAATAGCTTCATCATCATGAAAAGCTATTTCAAAATTCAACTCAAATTCAATTTGCTTTCAAATTGATCATCATTTAAAATGAACCATTTCATGCATGCATTTATTCATTTCACAAATTTAATCAACTTTTTGCTTTTCACTTTCACCTTTACTTTGCAAACTCAGAATTTCCAGATTTAATATCATGGAAATTACCGTCCGAAAAGGAGAAACCAGTAATGATTGGAATAACAAATTGAACCAACGAAAAGGGATTGTTAAAGTTATCATGTAAGTACCATGTGTTGATCAAGGTTAATATTGAATTAATTTTACCTTTTCTTTTCTCTTCTTAAACATTCACAATTTACCGGACAATTAACAGAATACGCAAGAATAAGAAGAAGATGTGATTAGCTAATCAGATTGGAGAACCTGAAAAGGGAAGGAAATTCAGCAAAATTGGAACGGAAATTGAATCAATAAAGGATGATAAAAAAAAAGGATGAAAAGGAAAGCCAAGAAAAGAAAGGAAAAAAAGACAAAAAAATGAAGCAAAAGATGAACCTAGTAAATGGTGCCAAATGCAACAATACAGAGTAACTTTAACCTTAATCGAAGTAAAAACTGGACAATAATGGACACTGATGAACAATGGTGATGGACAATAGCTATAAATTATCGACAATTAAATCTACTTATATGGACCATTAAGAAGGGGATAATAAATGGCAGTCAGCAGTTGACGTTCAGTGGAACGCTATTTTTTGAGACAAAAAAAGACTAAGATTGACCATTTTATCATCAACGAATGGACATCATTTTCACATGTCACATTAGGCTTAAAATGAATTTTTCAGAATAGATTAATAAATTAATTATTTAGTAATAGTTATAGCATAAAATGATTATAATAGTTGAATGGTGTTAATGTTGATTTTGGGCAAGGCAAGGTAACTGGAAAAAAGCAAACAAAAACACTGAAAATGTGCGCAAATTGAGACGCCAAGTTGAACCTCTTTATCTGAACTCTTTAGTTGTTAACATTGAAATTAAACTGTTGTTAGAGTTATAAAATATATTATATATTAATGATTGACCAACCATTAATTGAGTTGACGGAAAAATAATGATTAAACCAAAGCATCTGGTTAACTGGTTTTATGTTTTTTCAATAACTTGACAGGGAAGGTAAAAGTAAATGAAATGAGAATGAAATTGAATTGTATTTTCAGTCTCTAATTGTTTTTACATTAATTTTAAAATTACTATTAATAGTTATAATTGTTCAACTTTTTGCTTTCCATTACGTCAATATTAACCCGATCAGTTTGTTTATTTGCACTTCTCAATTCACCATCTTCATTATGCTTTCTGTACTTTTTCATCAGTGATATTATTCATTATCATTTATGTTAATCAATGATTGATAATTGGGAAAAGATGAATTTGTAAAGTTGATTTGAAATGATTAAAAAAACTGGTTTGGTGCTTTGCATTTGTGGCTTCATTATTTTCAATTTCAAGGAGAAGAAACCAAAAAATTTCAGATTCGCCGGTAAACATTTTTCATGGAAAATGCAACAATTTTGAAAAAATCTTTTACTCAAATCAGAGTTTATCGAGCTTTTTGCAGGAAAAAATTCAAGGAGAAAAGGCGAAAATTTTTAATGGAAAAAAGCGATTTCTGGAAATCTCTAAAATTTGGTTTTTGGTTAAACTCAATAAAGAAACATTGAAACAGAATTAATTTTTGCTTTTCAATTTTGACTTGAATTGATAAAAATGTTCATTTCTGCTTGAAGTCATGATTTGCATTTAAAGGCGACTGGAAAAGATGAGAAAAGGTTAACCTGTAAAAACTGAATTCTGAATATTTCCATTCGAACTCTTGAGTCTTTTTATATTTTGCAAAACTTTACATAAGAAATTGGCGAAACATTGGTTCAATCTTATTGGACTTTCTTGCTTATTCATCACTTTTGGTCATTCAATTTTTCCAATCTGCTTTCTTGAATTTCCAATTATTCAACAAATAGATTTAATAATAAGGAATGAACCTTTTCAGCCAATCTTGAAATACCAATTTGAATATAAATTGCAATTTTATACCTTTATTTTTAGGCCTTTCACCAGCTTTTAAATCCGGTTTCAATTGAATTGACCATTTGTTTAACCCAAAGCAAGTTTGTCCAACTCTCCCAATCTCAACCAATTAAATTGTGATTATGGATTAAATTGTATTGTATTGAACAGGATTTGTAGCAGGTAATAAACAAAGGAAAGGAACCAAAATTGTTGACTTTAATGTCAATGCTTGAGGCTATTGGAATGATATTTTCAGGCTAAACTGGATTGTTCATTTTAATTTAGCTTTAAATTTATGCCAATAATTGTTTAATCAAATGTTTTCACCTTATTTGGAATTGAAATTTTCTACATTTTTCTTCCAGCTCATTATTAAAGGTATAAATTGGAAGCTTCATCAAATGTTTCATTAAATTGTCAAGTTTTCACTCGGTTGTTGCTATTGTAAAGGTAAAAAAGTGGTTATTTTTGTTACCTTGGACAATTTTTTATTGTAATCAAACATGATTATTATTTAAATTATAACTGTTTACCTGGTTTAATCCAGGAAGAGGATAAAATATTTGTTATCAACTCAAATGGACAGTTTTGAGTTTGTTTCCACGTTCAACATTCATTAGTCCAACTTTTTTTCCTATTTTTACGATTTCTTCCTCATTCTTCAAATATTATCAAACTACATTTAGTCTAATGTTTACGTGCCATTTGCTGCTTTTTTATTTCTCATCATCTGCAGGCTATAAAAGATCAGTTCAATTTGAATTGATAATTAATTAGAACGCTAATAGATCTGTTGTTTACTTCTCTTTAGGTCAATTGTGTCCCTCATTTCATCTTAATCTGTTAATCAATTAATCATTTCACACCTGTGTTGTACAGATGTATTACCATTTATGAGGTTACCAATTTATATTAGACAAGGGCAAGATATTGACCTGAAGTGACTTTCGACCTTTGAATGTTGAAATTATTGGAAGGAAAAGCAATCAATTCATATCAACAGATGGCGCATAGCTTTGCAATAGCAACAAACTTCATGCCAATAGCATCATCTATTGAGTTAAGAAAGTAACTTAACGATTAACTCGAGAGTTACGTTTAATTCAAGATTGACGAATAGCACTTGACGAAAAAAAACAGGTCGATTGAGGGATAGAGACTGCGTTAAATAAAAGGCCGATTCGTTGTTGGATAATTGCACCTGTCGTGCTGGTAGCAAAGGGCTTCTTCTTTTCTCTTGCTTTTATTAAATTGGAATTCAATGTATTAAAGTATGCCTAACAATTATATTGTAATTTAAACAATTTTCTAGATTTTCTCAATTTATAAGCTATTTTCTAACATAATAGAGTATAATGTGATCGACGGATTTGAGCAGGAGGACGATGATAGTCTGGATGAAGAAGGTGTTCTAGGTGTCAAATGAATGAAAGTTTGATTAGTGATGGAGATAGGGATGGCTGGTTCGATATCGAAGGTGGGAGATTGAAAGTGTTTGATTGATTATTTACAAAAAACGACAGGCGATGAGACCTTGATCAGGAAGCGGTGTGTTTGAAATTAAATGATTTATGCATTTTTGCCGATGAGTTCTACACTTTTCTGCATTAATGATGTAACCTGAGATGTAGGCGATCAGTCCTCTATGTTCGTCATCTTCAAGCTGTTTTGACATAAAATGCTAGAATCTAGGATTATATCTTCAGGTGTTAAATTCGGAAAAATGTGACGAAAAGGTGTGATGAGGATGATGATTCAGTAAGAAGATCAGAATCGGAAGCTCTGAAATAATCAGCAAGGTCATCGATTGATTGTGCGATGTAATTGCGGATGATTATGACTCTTCCAGATCAGTTAAAACACCATCGTACTCGCAGTAATCGTGCGAAATGTGGAAGAGAGAGATGAGTGACAGTTCAGTTGATGATGAAATGCCTGCAATCTAGGTTGTTAACATTATGAGGTAGAAGAAAGCTTTGGTTTTTCCGATAGATGGCCTTGATTTAGTAAAATAGAGATGACTATTGTCGATGAGATTTTAAAAATGATCAATGTAATGCAATTATCGTTATTAGCTTGAAAAACAGTCTTCTAAAATTTCCCAGATTTACAGTAAAACCTCGCAAAGGTTGTATGAAATTTAGCAACGCCATCTATGGGATCTAAGATTTTCCTCCTTTTACAATGCAATTATGTTAATAACTTCAAATAGTTGCACAAACAATATCGCTAGGCGGCAGGATCGCTCACAACTTTTGCGAGTTAGCCTGATGGGTTAATCCCAACGGCGATAAGACTGCTAACTTTCATATGTTGTGTTCTGCATCTTGGGGTTAGCGTTCCAATCTCGCCGAAGTCCTTAGGTCGGGCAGACCCTCTCAGCTCACCCAGAGCATAAGCCATCTTTTTCATCTTTACTTTTACCTTTAAACCTAGAAGAGAAATGAGAAAAAGGAAAAACCAAAAAATTGTAATTTTATTAATAAAGAGCTATTAAACCTCATTACTCAAAGTTTTATACAATATCACAAGAACCGAATATGCGTTCTTACTTAAATTTGATAATACGCTCTTATGAATTACAAAACGATTTTTAACTTCAAGGTCATTTGAGGACATTAGTGGGTTTGACCTTCAAAAGATTTCTGAAGGACATTTTAGATTATTCCAAATAAAGAGAAAAGAAAGAGAAGAGAAAAAACTTTTTACTTTAGTTAAATAAACATTTTTTGCATATAGCCTATCCAACATAAAATCATTATAAGTCTTGGCTTGGTCCAAAGTTGGGTAAATATGAAGTAAATAAGATACATATTCTTTTTGTTTAGGGTCCAGGGTCATATTCTCAATGCATCGAGAAGCTAAAACAAGAAGTTACGTCTTTGTCAATTCACCAACCCTTAAGCTATTACAGATTGATGTTATAATTTGCGATCGATGGTTTATATTTAATTCTAAATATTTAATATCTTTCCAATAAATGAAAGAATCATCATCGAAAACAAAACTGCAAAACAGGTCTGAGTTGGTAAAAATCTCCAAAAAAAATTACATTCTAATCTGCGAAATCACCTGTGGATCTACAAAATTGAATACACCTTTGATTGCCATCACAGGTGCAATCATCCAGCAAAAAATCAGATTTGTATTTATTGCAGTCTATTCTGCTTCTTTACTCTTTGTTTCATTGGCAATAGCACTTTTTCCATCCAGCAAGGTCATTCATCCCAAGGTCATTCAAGGTCATTTGCTGGAAATCTTTCTAGGCGTTATTAGAGGGCTACAGAAAATGAAATCATAATTCTCAAGGTATAATAATCATGCTGCAAGAAATGTTTCGTTAGGTATGGTCATTCATTTTAAATTAATTCCAATTTTCATTTTTCTTTATAAAGTAATTTTTATAGCACTATCAACATTTTACACGAGTTTTCAAAAGAAAGAAATTTGATTTACTGATTGTATTGAACATCGAGTATGTCCTCCCGAGAAGGCAATTTTACAACTTGTACATATTTTGAGCTTAGTCATTTGATAGAATTCAAATTGGTCATCCACAATGAAAATTATCCATTTGTTTCTCCGAATATCTCTAAATATATCGTCCTTTTTAATATAGACAGCAATTATAAATTATACTTGTTACATTATAATTTTTCTAATTTATTTTAATTTTCCAATGAATAACTCTGAGTTGATACATTCTAGATAGTTTTCAGAGAAGTAGTTAATTATTTTTGATATTTTTCATTACTCTATACCATTTTGTAGGATAATGATTTTGAAGTCGGCAAATATTAT